ACCAGGAGGCGGCCCAATGCTGGCGGGGGCCTCCAGAGGCCGGCCTCGCGCCCGCTGGGCTCCAGCGCCACCCCTCTGTCCTCCCCAGCCCGCTCTGGGGCTTCACCCCGTGGAACACCCCGAGCTCCTAGTCAACCTTCACAGCCCAAGTCCAAAGGACCCCAGGCTCTGCGTCCCCCGCAGGCCACACCCCCAAGGAAGGACACTGCCCCAGTACCAGGCCCTCCCTCTGCTTCTCCTTTGGCCACACCTCCACCAGGTCCCACTGCACAACAGGCACCGCCTCCCCTCTGTACAGCCCCTCCCCTGGCTGCCTCGCTCCCTCCCTCTCCACCGACCACGCCCCCTCTGGACACGCACCATCGTCAGGCCCCGCCCCCCACGCCGGCCACGCCCCACTCCCAGGACCTTAACTGTCATTTGGCCACGCCCCTTCCACTAGTCCCTCCTCCTGCCTCGCTCTCTCTGCAGACCCTCCCTTCTCCACCTGCCACGCCCCCTTTGCAAGCTCCACCCACACACCTGGGTCCAGACTTTCCTGAGGCTTCCGTCTCTCCACTGGCGCCAGCTGCTTTTCTGACTCCATCCTCTCCCTCGGTTGTACCCGCTTTGCAGAGTGTGCCCTCCACCCAGACTTCTCTGGCTCCGAATCTCATCCCTTCCTTGGTCACACCTCCTTTGTCCAGTCCTCTACCATCCGCCACGCCCCCTGCACGAGCCCCTCTTTCTCCAGCAACATCCCTGCTGAATCTGCCGTCTCCATCGGCCTTTTCTGCTCTGGTCACGACCCCTTCAAGAGCCAGTTCTTCCTTGTCTCCATCCCCAGCTCAGGCCACGCCTTATACAGTAGCCACACCTCCCTCGCAGGACCCCCCTACAGCTTCGCCTCCGCAGGGCTCTCCCTCTCCTCTGACCACGCTCACTCTGCAGAGTCCCCTAGTATCTTCTCCCTCGGCCTCGACGCACCTGCAGTGTCCTCTCACGCCCCCGGCCACGCCCTCTCCCCTGAACCCACCTTCCCAGGCCACGCCCCCTATGCAGGCCCCGCCCTCTCCGATGGCCCTGCTCTCTCCGCAGGTGCCAGCTGACTTGATCACGCCCCCTTTACAGGCCACTCCCTCTCCCCTGACCATGCCACCCATACAGACCCTGCCTTCTCTGGCCTCTTCACCTCTGCAGGCCAGTCCCTCTCCAAGGGCCTTGTCCCCTCTGCAGGCTCCACTTTGTGCGGGCCCACCCCCTCTGGAGGCCTCGCCTTCTTTCCTGTCCACACCCCTCGTGCAAACCCAGCCTTCCTTGACCTCGACCCCTCTGCAGGACCCTCCTCTCCCTGCCACCTACCCTTCACCCCTTCCCTCTCCCCCTGCTTCATGCCCTCCGCAGGTCCCCTCCCCTCCACCTGCCTCACTCCCTCTGCAGGCCCCTCCCTCTCCCCCTGGTCCACCCGCTCCGCAGGTCCCCTCTCCTCCCCCTCCTTCACCCCCTCTGAGGGCCCCTGCCTCCGCCACCACCATGTTCCCTCTAAGGTCCTCACCTTCTTTGGCCTCACCCCCTCTACAAGCCCCGCCTTCCCCCATGACCACGACGCCCCTACACACCCCACTTTCTCTCCCTTCGGTCTCTCTGCAGGCCCCAGCTCCTCCCCCTGCATCTCCTTTACAGACCCCCGTTTCTCCCTCTGCCTCATCCCATCCAGCGCTGTTGGCCACACCCTCTCACCAGGCCTCGCCTACTCGGCGGGCCCCTCCTCTGGCCCCACCCCCTCACCACGCTCCAGCCTCCCCGGGCTTGCCT